GGGGGGAGGGGTGGTGGTGGGGGTGTGGGTCTTGGGGGGGGGGGGTGGAGATGACAACTTCGCAGAGGCTGCTGTGCAATGCATGGGTATTTATTGGGGGGAGAAGTGGGGGAAGAGTTGATTTGATTTGATTTTTTCTTTCCCTCCCACCTCTTGATTAAAGGGTGGCGTGTCGCGCCCCGCGTTTCAGAGCTCGGAGGTTTGTTGCTGCGCAGTTCAGAAAGTGGGAAATGGTGACGCAGTGATCATTGTCGTCCAGTTTTAAAAAGCATCGGGTGGAGGGGGGGGGGGGGGGGGGAGGGGGCGGGGGGTGAGGGACAGGTACGTGGTGCCTTTCGGAGGCTTGCAGAGCAGCTGAGAGGGGTTAAGGATGAGTTGAGAAGGGAAGCTAGCGTGGAGGGATTAAATGTCATCATTTTGGCGTTGGGAAGTTGTTTACCTTGCTCTCTCCGTGTCTCCATGTTGGCAGCCTTCCAGCTCACATGTGATAGTCTTCCCTGTACTGCTGCATCATTAACTAAGTGGCTGAGCTTGCACACCATTGGCTGGGGTGGGCTCTGAGTCTAAACACTCGATCCTATTGGAGGAAGGGGTGATGGCAGGTGAAAACCTCTCCAGGATTGGCCAAGGACAGGGTGTCAAATCTAAATGTCGATTTCACTTGCTTCAAAGTGCTGGGAACTGCTTTGTGACTACAATCTCAGCTGGGTTTTCTTTCTGCTTTTTCAAAGCCAGGCATTTGAAAAGATCTCTCTGCCTTTGGCACTACGTCACTTTGCCCAAAGCAAAAGAGAAACGCAGCAAATTCCCTGGCGTGGCCTGCGCAGGTCGTGGTGGGTGCAAATAAATCACCCGGAGTGTGAATGGCGTCCGTGACAGGTGAGTTTCCTTCTGTTGCAAAACAAGCCGCAAAGACGCGTCAGCATTACAGCCCGCAGAGAAGGGGAAAGTCGTGTATTTGTGAGTGTCTCTTCCTTATAAGGGTACACGGTCTTATTGCTGAGCACCGGTACCCTTGCGGCAGAGAGGATTTGCTAGCCTGCTCAAGTGTCCCGGGCGGAGGCTGCGCCTGTGAATTGCGATGTATAAATACAGAGCGGGAATAGGAGGGCGACTGCGGCCTCAACTCTGCCGTAGACTACGTCAGAATAAAACTGCAGGGAAGTGAGCGAGGGCTGAATCTGAATTTAAAAAATAAATACAATTAGAGAGTGGGGTTGGAGGGAGGAGTTCAGCACACGGGGCCGGGCTGGGCAGGGAGCGGGGAGACCGAGGAGGACAAACAGCCCAGATCTGGCAAGGCCTGGAGATGGAGGATGAGCATGAGTCCAGGCCAGACAAGAGGCCATGTTTTTTACCCATTTCCCTGCCCTCCTTCTTCCCAGAGTGCTCCGCAGGGAAGAGGTTGGGTCCGCCCAGGTGTTTGGCAGATGCTGCTCAGCTCCCCGGCTCGAGAAGTCCCCGGATGGTGCGGTGCCTCGCGCTCTCACGCAGCAAGGAGCTTTCTGCCCTGAGCCTCCAGTCACGTAGAGGCTCCAGCAAGTTCAAGGATAAGGGGGCGGACGCCGTTCAGGTATTACTCATTTGCCGGGAGCTCGAGAGTCAAGTACGGTCATTTAGCAACAACTGTCATGGTTATAACCAGAGCGAACGCGGCGTGTTCTCGGCCTGGATCGCTTTTAATGGCCGTTTGTCTCCGAAAGGCGTATCCCGAGATACGCGTCGTATTCCCACAGGCACCCAGTGCCAGACCCGATTTCATCAGGCCGTATAGGGCTGCTCGAAGCCCTGGGGCAGGAAAGCAGAAGGGAGGAAGCCATTTCCCAAAGGGAGATCCAAGGGTGGAGAGCGCGCAGGCGCTCTCCGGAGGGGTAAAAAGCGCCTCCTTATCCCTCCTTCCATCCTCGCACCTTTTCCTGCCTCCCTCGCCTCCCCTTGCCTGCCGAGCTCCACCGCGCATCGAGAATCCCCCTTGCAGGTGTCACCGACCCTCCTGAGTCACTCAGCCCTCGCCCGTGGAGCTGACTCCCGCAGAGCTTCCGCACTTCCTGCGGTGCTAGATCCGCAGAGGAGGAGGAACAGCAACCGCAACGGCAGTCCCTGCAGCGAGGCCGATGGACATACACGCACGTCTGCCGGCACTGCTGCATAACTGCGCTTACACGCCGGTAAGCCAGCAGCAGAGAGATCCATGCAGAGCCAGCAGCCGGACCGAGAGCCGACGCTCAGTTGCTCGGGAGTGCGGTGAGTTGCATCTCTTCTGTTGAATGCGGTCCGTCCAGGTGCCCCTTGCGTTCACCACCTCTCGCCGGCAGGGTGGTGGGGGCTTTATTCACTTGCCACGCGTTCGGGGCTTGCTGCGGCAGAGGGGATTCGTGGAAGGAGATGGGGCTGGCAAGCCATCAGTGCAGAAAAGAGCAGGTGTCCTTTCAAAGCACCCCGAGCAGACACGGATCAGCACGCTCACGTTGGGTTCCTTGTCGCCTGCTGGCCCCAGAGAGGTTTGCGTCAGTGACCGAGTTCTTTTTTGGTCTGATTTTAACCTCGAATGGTAGCTACGTTCTCCAGCCCTCCCCGCGTGGGAATTCAGTTCTTTGTAAGAAAGAAATCCCACGATTTGTAAGAGAGAAATCTTGCAGGATGGCGTGCAAGAGACGTGGTGCTTTGCCGTAGGGGCGATGGGGGAAATGGACTTGTTGGGTTCCTGCGTGTGCTAGGGGCACAAACAACCGATTCACGTGGCCTGGTGGCTAAGATACTGAACAAGAGCCGAGAGGTCTGGGTTTTATTCCTTACTCTGCTGCTTACTTGCTTGTGAAGCCTTGGTTACTTGGCTTCATCTTTTGATGGTTCAGCTTTCTCCTCTGTAAAGAGGGTCTTCTTGCACATAGCTGCCTTAGTGCGGCACTAGGAGGCTTATTCACCGCTGGGTTGAGTACTTGAGGCACAACCCACGCAGATTTCCTGAGGTGATTTAACTGTGCAAGGACCATGCATGTGGGGAAAAGCAAGTTCAGTCTTTGCACCAGCCGGTGGTACGTGCTTGAGAGCATTACCTTGGTTTTATTCCTTCGCACCGGAGTGGGGCTGTCTGAGCAGAGGCAGCCATGATCTCTGCCAACATCGGCCGTGTTACATCTGTGACGCAGTCCGTTTTGTTGGAGGCTGTTGCCTGGGCTCTGTGGAGTGGGATGGGGAGGGCAGGGGCTGGAATGAGACGCACACTCGACGTCGGTGGTGAAGTTTGCATGTGTGAGCGAAGCAGCAGGGGTATCAGCACCTGTCCGTTTCACCGACCGGGAGCAGAGCAGGCATTCAGACGAACACGACAGCACCCCTAGCCATTTTGTTGCTTGCCGGGGAGAGTCGGAGCCTGCAGCACTGCTGCTGCTGTTAATTTCCATGTCATATAAATACAGTGCTCTGTGTCAGGAGTGCCGCCGATGCTGTGAGGAGGTTACAGGCTTTGAGCAAATGCTTCTCTTTTCTCATTTGGGAAATCCACTGTTATGGTCAACTCCTCCACAGTTTGTTTCCTTTTCCCACCCCACCAGAAACAGCCTCAAAGCCCATCCAGGGAAGCCAACCCCTGCCCTGCAATTGTTTTAACCCTGCGCAAGATGTTTTTTTGTCTGGGTGTGGCTGGGGATTGCCAGTCTTCGGTCCCCGTGACGGGGCCGCATGCCGCAGCAGCTAAGCATCAGCTCCAGCAGATGCCTGTGGATGGAGACGCACGCAAAATGCATCTCATCGCAGCGTTCTTGTACAAAATGGCCGTCGCGAGTTGCCGAGACGCCCTTGTTGCGCGGTCCAGGGTGCTCGTCCTCCCCCCGCCCCCCACATATTTTGCGGGATGGGATAATTGTGTTGCTGTGTGAGAGTTTTTTCCTGGCATTAAGAGGTGCCAGTTGGATTTATGCAGTGCATGCAGAGGGCTCGTACCTTGGACTGGCTCTGCCCGTCTGTGGCAGGGAGGGATCCTTCTTCACGGGCACAATGTCAGGCTGCCTCCTGCAAGGTCATTCGCCCGCCTCGCCATTGCCCAGCATCAGTTTTCTCGAACTCTCGGTTCCAATTTCGCCATTACGGCCGGCATTTGGGCCCAGAGCTGGGTGGTGCGGATGCCCTCTGCTTTTGCAATGGGCCAACTCCAGCTTTGGGGTCTCAATGCCAATCAAATCTCCCATCTCCAAAAATGCAGACCTGAGTTTTTGGGCACGAGCTGCTTTCGGGAGCAGGAAGCCACCCATTTTTTGGACTGTGGGCAGCAGCATGTTCTCAGATGCAGGCATGGAAGTGTTGGGGTGAGGGGGAAGGAGAAGGGAACCAAATCCATCCCTGCGTTGGGTGACCCTTGTCTGTTCTTCATGCCAGTCCTTCCTGCTTGGTGGCCTTCGTATCCCCTGAGTTGTGCTGCCAGGCGGGGGTGAGTGCTGAATCTGCTCAGAGCTTTTATTTGCCCGACTCTCGCCTGTTTTCAAGGAGCTCTGGTCCTTGTCAATCTAATGTGCACTCTCGTTTTCACATAATTTTTCCAGGGAAAGGAACCTGCCTGCTAATCCTGATGGCAGTGCTGACTCTTCACCCGCGGGGAGGCATATGTGGTAGCTTGTCTGCTAAAAACCAAGCCAACGCAGCATGATTCAGACCATAATTTTTCCGCAGAGGAGACACTGTTTCCTAGTTAAACCCAGACCTTCTTTCCCATGCACCACAAATGGGGCACGCGGTCCTTCCGTGTACAGTCCCTGGCTGTGTATGGGCTGATGAGCCGTGTTTACTTCAGAGCTGCGATTGAGCCAGGGGCACATGAGACTGACGGCATTCGGAGAGGGAGAGAGCATGGCATCCCAGGCTCAGACAAAACACGCAGAAGTCCTGGTACCCTGACGGACTGCCTTCTTGCAGCCTGTCCATTTATACAGCTTGAGGTCGAACTCCCAAATGGCCATGGTTTGAGTGAAGGGCAAGAAGATGCTGTGGTCCCAGACACATGAGTTAGCCCCTTCAGACAACACTGTCAGTTGAAGGAACTAGTGAAAAAGCAGAAGGGAAAACATTTGAAGACGTATTAAAACACAGACAGCTCATTGTCCTGCGGCATGCGTCAAGGGCAGCTTATATTACAGGAAGCCTCTTGCGGGCATTACAGTGTCTCCCTTCTAGAGCCCTTCTGTGATAAGTCACTCCCTGGTAACAGCCCATCATCCCTTTACAGGCATAGGAGGGGTCTCGACTTCCCTTGGGCAACGTCTAGAGAATGGCAGCGAGGGCAGTGGGAATTTTTGGGGTCCTGCAGTGGCAGAAGGAGTCGCGGCAGCGAACGTGTTAGAACAGCTTGCTAGCCCTGCATTCAGCGCTTCGTCGTAGGAGGGCACGTTTTGAAAAAAGCTTGCAAATGCAAAAGGCTTGTTAGGCTTCATCCAGTTCGGCAGAGGGCGGTTCGTTACAGTCTGTTCCCCAGCGTGTTGTCCAGACTAGTTTTATATGGCTGAAGTACGACGAGTCTTTTATCACCTTTCTTGGGAAGCTTTTTCACAGTCTACTAGAGCCAAATGTTGAGCGCTTCTCCTTAACAGCCAAAATGTCCCTTGGCTTAATTTCATCTCATCCCTGCTAGTTACAGCACCTTGCGTTGCCTTAAAGAAACCCTCTTCCCCTGCTGCCTGTGCCATTCAGAGGACTTGCTTTTCCACCCCAGGGCTCTCAAGCGTAGCACTAAAGCGTAGGGCAAACTGCGTGGCAGCACGATCATCCTGATGAGTCACGGCCACATAAGAAAATGGCGCCCCAATAATTAGCACTTCTCATAAGGCTGTTGTGTTAATGCTGCTTCCTCAAGTTCTGCCTGGCTTTGGGGCAGGCAATTCCGAGTCAAAAAGGCGTGGTGATTTTTGCACCGAGTATAATTCACCATACCTAGTGCGGTGGAGTACGCTCAAATTGGCTTGGTTTGCCGAGGTATCATTTATTCTTGCAGGGCCGGTAGGAAGGGTTGTGATGAGCTATATGATCGGTTGTTATTTCATTACCTTGTCTGGTCCAATTTTAAGCATAATGGCGCATGTTAATGCCTGTTGTGTATCCTGTGTGTGAGGGCTGGCAGAGCCGTAGGAGGCTGCAGGAGGATGAGCCACAGGGGTCTGCGGTATGAGCACTTCTTCCAGATTGCCGCAGAAGCCGGGAAGAGCAGGGGCAAGTAGATCTACAACTACATGGCTTCTCCAGACTACCCCGATGGCATTCCCAAACTACCCCTGCGATAGCCATGTCAACCTCACTGCCAGTCTGCTGTCTGGGAGGGCATAACTCTGCCTGACGCTAAGACGTACGGTCCCAGCCTGGCAGAGGTTGTTTTTTTTTGGTAAGAGGAGAGGGCTCTGCAAGCTCGATGCTCCATGGACCTGCACCTGAATGCGGCACAGATCATTCACAAGCTGTTTTCCTCCTTAAAACGGACTTTGTTTAGCAACCACCGATGCGAACAGGAATCGCCGGCCACGTTATTAAATCACTGGGTGCAGCAAGAGTTAATCCTGTAGCAGGTTTCCGTGTGGCAATAGCGCGGAAGGCAAATCGCCATAAAGGGTGACTCCTACATTTGTTCAGCAGCTGGTTTTCAAATACCTCCGCCATTTCAAAATAGCCACTCGGCCCCGCATCCCCAAAAGAATACCTGGCGTGATTCACTTGCATAGGAACTGGTTCTCCCCATGGTTTAAATTACTATTTAAAACCCTGGCCTCTTTTTTTCTCCCCAAAGCAGTGCGCAGTCAGGCCAAACCCTTGTTTGCTACTCAATTTAAAAAATATGCAGCTTGTTGATCTTTCTGCTCTGTTAAATGTTTCCAAGGTAAATATGTGTGGGTGTGCTGGCATCTTGGAGACTAACTTTACATTCTAATAGGAGCTAAAATTGATGGCTGATTTGGAAAAGGAAAGCTGGTTGTCCAGTTGTCGAGTTAGGATGAAACAGGACAAGCCTTTTGGAGAGGAGGCCCCATGACCAGTGTTCTGGCTATCTTTTTACTTCTGTGCATAATGTTTGGAGGACCAGAGCCTGTTGTTTCATGCCATTCGCTGTGTCACAGCCATCAGGTGCAAGACATAGGCTCAAAGCCGTCTCTGGGCTGTGTTCTTTGAGGCTGGTGTGCTGGAGTTTTTATTCAGTGCCTAAGGAAGCAAAATTCCTGTTGGAATCCGTCTTGGTGCCAGATGGGAAGACGGCATTGTCACAGCCTGGCCCTGTCCTGGGGCGAAGTGGTGCTGGAGTCTCTGGAGCAGGGTCACTTGTAAAACCACGTCTTGAGGATCTGCACTTGGCCCTACCGCAAACCTTGGGTATCGTTCACAGGTCTTCTGTGGGCAGCTTCCCAACCTACCATATTTCCTCACGTCAGAGATGGGAGAATTAGTTTGATCCTCGATTAATTCTGCGCCTGCACGTGGAATGGGGCAAAGGGGAAAGGCTTGATGGGGCCTGTGTGTCCTCCGGTGCGTGTCCCAGCAGCTTCAGGACTGCTTTAGCATCAGCTCAGCTGTCCAGGTTCCTGGCCCTGGCAAATAGAGACTGGCTAAAACACATGGTTTTCACCAGCCTCCCACCGGCAGCCTTTACAGGGCCAGTCTAGAGCACTTACAAAAGTGGGGAATTCCCCCTAAGCCGAGGGAGACTCACAGGGGGCCGTCCCTGCCCACTGTCAGGCCCCTTTACACTGTCAGAGAATGTGCAGCAGCTGTGAGGATGTGAAGCACTTGGAGGCAAAGCATTTGCTGATATTAGAGACAGCGGAAAATCCCAACAAACCTTGTAGAAATTCCACAGCTCTCCAGTTTTCCATTGGAAACTGGTCACAAAAATGTCCCGGGTAATCCCACCAGGTGGTGTTCATTTTCCAGAGAGGGGTGCATACGTGTGTGCATCTGTGCCTACGTTATAACATCTCGGTCTGCGTTCCCACTGTCCTGGGTGATGGGGTGCACACACACATCTTTAGGGTGAGTTCTACCACGTGTCGTTTTTTACTTCCTGTTGTAGCATCATGAACTGGTCTAATTTTTTTAACTTGCTGTCAACATTTCCCCTTCTCAGGGTTACCTGCCTGCCCAGGCAAGCCATAGGCTTTGAAGCAATCGCCACAGCTACCGATGCATCTCTCGGGAAGGTGAAGCTAGCAGTTGCCAGCCGTGGCGGAAAGCTACTGGTGGGAAGGGAGGCTTGGCGAGGCACAGGAATACTTATCTGCCTCTGACTGTGAGTAGCATCTATGTTTTAATTCTACTTGAAGCTGTAGACTGCAAATGCTTACCGGCACAGCACAGAATAAGCGATTGCATAAATTCAATTGCAAGTCTGAAAACAAATGAGCCATTTAAATTTTCTGCTGCCTCATTATATTTTTGTAAATGTTAGTCCACTTTGATGTGTCTGCAACCTTCCCCACTCTCCCCTTCTCTCCCCTTTTTTTCTATAACTATGAGGCTGAGTACAGTCTCGATCAGTACATTAACCGACTGAAGTCGCTGTTTTATGAAGTCATTTTGGCTCTGTTCCTTCTCTATAGCTGTCGCGTGGCTGCTGTCAGAACTGAGAGCACGAACAGCACAAGGCTGATTAAAGTGCCCCCTAATCTTCTTTTGTGTGCATGCATGCAGCTTCTATTTTGTTAAAAGGCTTTAGCCAACATTTAATTTAGCAGTTTCCTGCTCGTATTTCAGATGCAAGATTTAATGAAGTAACAAAAGGGGGGGATCCAGCAAAGCTATGTCACTTGAGAAGGTGACAGTTCTTGACTGTAACTCATTCTTAGGGAGAGAGCCTCTGCTTTTGATGTGAGCCTTGTAGTGAGGAAAACTGGGCAAAGGTTTGCAGACGCTGAACTGCATAAACTTGAAATTAGAACGTGGTTTCAAGTCAGCATGCAAATCTTGGTTATAATTCCTCCTCTACTTCCCTGTTTCTCCTGTTTGAACAGGATTGCCCTGATACCATCTCTTTTTTCTTTCTTCACTTGCTTCTCTTCCCCTCATGTTTCTGAATGCAGTTAAAGGACACAAAGCGGAAAAAAAGCCCCAAGAACGTTCACAATTGTGAGAAGTAAGAAGGGCCAGAGGTAAAACAACTTCACATTTGTGTCCAGTTCCTGGAAAGCCTTGGTGCCCAGGTCTGTGCCTTGAATCGTCATTATAGATACGTGCACAACGGGGAGTGTGAAGCACCGCGTTGTAGTGGTGCAAGTGACTGCAAATGTTGCAGGGCAAAGTAAACCAGCCAAACCACCCGCAAAAAACAAAACGCACACGAGCGCGTGCACGCACACACACACATGCACACACACACACACACACACAACCAGTTCAACCTTCCTGAGCAGGAAGTCTGAGGCTAAATAGACCTGATGATATTTAGAAGTGGTGAGAGAGGTCATTTTATTGTGCGCTGTAAAAACATGCAATTCCGTGTCTTAGTGTTTGCCTCTGGTAATTATGCTGTTCTGTTAATAATTCACTAGAAGCATTATCTAGTTCCCATTTTATAGCACAAGAGTTAGGGTGTTACCACGAGTTCCTGCTTCCAACAGTGGCTTTCAGCTTACAATTTGGTACATGTTTTTGATTTTTTATCAGAAATTGGTTTCTGAAGCGGTCACTTGAAAATCTCAGGGGAATTGGATTAGCCCATTTTAAGAAGAACCTTTTTCTTCCCCCCCCCCCAAAAAAAAACAAAACAAAACAAAACTGTGACAGGGAAAGCCTAGAACAGTGACTGGCCATCTTGACAGAGATGAACAGTCGGAAACAGATACTAGTTCACGCAGAGGGAACGGTTGCTAGGTGTGACGGTTAGTAGCTATGAACTTAATGAGACATGAGTAGCGCTGTGGAGGAGGCGAGCTCACTGGAAGAAGTGAGTAGGAAAAAAAAGGAGTAATGCCAAGTTTCCAAAGTTTCATGCGACTGTTTCAATTAACCATTTCTCCTGCAGCAAGAAACCACAATCCTGCAGTAAGTAGCACAGTGCCATTTCCCTTTCTTTTCAGAGAGTTTTGCTTCTGGTACTTTTTTTTTCTTTTTTGGCCCTTTGCATCTGCATGAAGGAGCAGAACTGGCATGTGATAGAAAGGGAGCGGGCAAAAGGATCCAGCTTGCTTAGGCCACCCTCTTGAACCAGAGCATCTTTCTCCATGCCTCATCCCTTGTCTTGACCCCTGTACTGACTGCGGCTGGCAGTGACAGCCAGGTGAAGCACTGTGGTCTGGCGTTTCACAGAACCAAGTGGCCATCCTTTTCCAAAGAGGTTTGAGGTTGGTTGGTGCCCCAAGTTTTTTGGACGCCCAAATTTCAGAAAGCTGAGCTCAGCTTCTCCAAAACCCACCATGTAAAGCGTCCAAAGCTGGGCACCCAAATATCACAAGTGACAACTGCAAATGTGAGCTGCTGGTCCTCACAGCCTATTACCACAAGAAGCCGCGCTGGCTTGGATGGTGGGAGACATTGCATACGGTAGGTAGCAAGCTTAAATAGCACAACAGGGCCAGAGCCTGGCTCTCGGCGGCCCATCGGGGTTCCCAGGATGGTCGCGAATGCCCAGCTTGTGGACTCAGCTGCCCCATGCTCTGTTGGCACAGGGGAGCAGGGGAGAGAGCGAACCGAGATGCGTACGCCAGGCACAGGAGTGTGCTGGGGCTGGTACAGACTAGCCCTCAGAAGCAGGCAGCCGAAACGGGCTCCCTGGTGCGACCGCTCCTTTCCATGCCCAGAAACAATCAGGTGCAGGGAAGAATTTGTCTCTTGCTCTGCAAGAATCGAGCTTGGGACATTCAATTCATTTTGCAGAGGCAGCTTCAAATGGAAGCTGCTCTCAGTCACTATTAACCAGGGAGCGGGGGGCTTTCAGCTATACTCTACTTCCCTGGCACCTCCGGCTTATTAGGATGTTAATGTAAAACTGTTCATGCTGACCAGATGAGGTCCTTCTGAGGCTAGTGGAAAGATCAGGGTGTGATTTAGAGTTGGTTGTGGTGGCATTTGTTTTATTTTCTTAATAAATAGTTGACTGCCAGTCCTTGCTTCATTTGAACATAACTTGAACAGCCTCCTGAAGATCCCTTACAAAACCTGGCAGCAAAATCTGCCGTTCGGGCCAAGCATAACTGAGGTCCACAGTATGAAACCTCAGCTCACTTCAGAACTGTATGGCTTGGACTTGTAGGCAGCATTTGATACTGACCCAGTCTTTTCTTTGGCACTTTTCTGGATTAGCGGGCAATAATTTTCTGCTAGGTGAGATGCAAATTATTCTTACCACCTAAAGGATTGAAATGGCCGTATGTCAGGCAGCTAATTCTGCTCATGTATATGAATCATCAGGGACATTGCTGACACAAATTTATCATCTGAAAAGCGCTATCCACCGGTGATAGCTACAGTGATGTTTTCAACCTAAAGAGATGCATGAAAAAATCACCAGTTCTCAAACACAGTATTCTTGGAGTAGGCAAATAGGTCCTTAGCCCGAACAAAAAGCATTTCTATACCTAACTCCCCCTGATTTAAGGAGGAATGAGACACCTACATACCTTGAAGGTCTGGATGTTATGGCTTATAGTTGCAAAGAAGGTGATAATACGTAAAGCCTATCTCCCAGGACATCGTGTACTTCTTGTGAGGCTGAAAAGATTGCAAGTCAGGAGACGTGACCCAGACACAAGGCATGAGAAAAACCCTTTTTACATGGCCGCTTTTGTGGCTGTAACAAATGCATCCAAGTAACTGGTACCAGGCATAAGGCTGGAGGAGGGTTTCCTGCTGGTTGTGATATTTTCCCCAAAGAAGCAGCTTCTGGTTATTTTTTTTCTATTTTTAAAGAAAAAAAAAAAAGACAGGCAGACCTGAGGATGCGTAATTTTTTAGATTTGCATTTCAGATTCGCTTGCCATTCAGACCAAGACACAGACCTATCACTTCCTCCTTTGTTCTGGCTCCCCTGGAAAGTTCTTCTAACATTGCGCTGTGATTTGCCATGACTTTGTGCTCTGCGATATTAAGATGGAAATTCATGCTCTGGAACCTGAGGTGCAATTGAGAAGCCAACCCCCGCAGTGGGAAAGGTGAGGTCTGTTTCTGAGCGTGAGTTATGGCCACACAGATCATTCAGTGTGGGGCACAGTGAGGCAGGGCTCCCTGTGCATGCTTTTCTCCCGTGGTAAGCAGAAGCAAAGTGAGGCTGCCTTGCCCTCGGTGAAGGAAGGGGTAAACCAGCATAGTTTTGCTTCCACTTACTGCAGGGTGAAGAGCATTCACACAGGAAGTTAGTGTGGAGCATAGCCCCACCCCACTTTTACTTGGTGAAAAACTTGCTGCGTCCATACCCTCGCTTTAATCCTGACTATACACCAGCGAGAGACGACAGCTTAGCTCAGATCAACTGGATGTGGAATCTGTACTAGAGCTATAGAAGGAAAAGGATGGATGGGTACGGACAAGTCTGCTGCACAGAGCTGGACCTGGCTTCTGCCAATCCAGGGGAGCTAGTTATTATTTATCCTTCCCCATTTTTATTGTGGCAGCTTTGCACACTGGGCACGGCCCCAAAGAACAGTTGGCAGAACATGCTGAGGGATGAGGATGATGGAGCCTTACACAGAAGTTGCATGCAGCAGTGTGCAAAGACACAACTCCAACCGACGCTGAATTCAGATTTCAGAGTTTGTGCAAGGAAGGGTGAGTGTCTACATTGCAAGTGAGCGGCTGAAAGACTCAATGGGTCACTGCAGTGGAAACCACTGCTAGGGCAATTATTTATTTCACATTGCCTTGCTATAAGCAGAGTACTGAACTGGCACCAAGGACCACATTTGCATGTTGAGAGGCACTGTGGCGATGTCACACTTTCATTTCCCTTCCTTGCAAACACAAGCTTGCTGGTGCAGAATTGCTTCCATGGTTTTACCTCTTACCCTTTTCTGCTTGGCTCTGGGAGCTGAATTTAAATACAGCAGTGTCACCTCTATGACACGTGGCCTTCTGGTTGTTTTGAAGCTTGCTACTTTCTTTGGAAACCAGGGTTTACAGACAATTTGCTATTATAGTCACTGCAACTGTGTGTGGTGCTTGGCAAAGCTCTAGCACAGGAAACATAAAGCTGATCGCTAGGAGCTCTGAACTCAAGGACAAGCCATAAGCAGTTCACTATAATGACACCACAGGTGCTTCCTTTTGGCTCTTCCCACCACCCCAGTGTCAGCCAGATCACTCCTACAGGCTGCCCAGCCCTGCCACTGCCCCGGAGGGATCACAAGAAACTGGGTGGGGGTGATGTTAGGGGAGTAATGCCTCCAATATGCTCAAGGGAGAAGAGGATGTTTTTTGGCTGGGTAGTTTCAACATGCTTGCACTATAATGGCCTGATTGGAGTTGGGATGATTCTCCTGGGTGACTCATTCTGCATTGCACTGCTCTTTTCTATCAAGCAGGGATGCGGCAAAGATCCTGGCATTCCAGCTGAGAGTTAAAGGTGAGTAGTCTCACCTCGCTCCCATTTCAGAGTGCCAACTTGGATCTTTGCCTTAAACCACTCTTCGGCAAGCAATCTCAACTGAAACATCCCACGGAGTGCATTTCCTTCCTGCACTACAGAAGGCTCTTTCAGTAATACACATGAGGGTAGCATAGGGGAAAGTCATTCATATGGGCTACCTCCATCTTTCTTGCTCAGCACCTGGGGGCCACTCTAAGAAACACTGCACAGTCGTGCAGCGTAGGGGCACCGAAAGGTTCTGCGTGATTGCAATGGCTTTTCTGACGTTCTAAGGTTAAATGCCATTTTTAATGTCTGCCACTAGTAAACAATTCTGCAGTGTGACGAGGCAGGTGGTTCATGATGCCAAAAATATAACTAATGTTCCGGTCAAGTAACCAAAGCCTGGCCAAGACACTTATGTGTTCCAGATGTTGGAACAAATCCAGTTTCTGAAGTTAGCCTACCACGTGTGTATGTGAGAGCCATGTTTTCAAACACTACTGCCTAAGTACACCTGCAAGATATGCCCATTAGCCTCCGGAAAAGTCAATGGCTGCAGTGGGAAATGTATTAAAGGTTTTGGGTGTTGTTTTGCAGTTTTTGGAAAACTGCCTCTCTTCAGATACTACACAATTATTTCACTTCCCAAAACAGGTCTTAACCCTTGCCCATGTGCATCGTGGAAAGTGCATGTGGCTGTCTTGATAACCTGCATTCAACCCTACGTGGCCTATCCAGTCAGTCTCCGGATGAGTGAGCAGGAATAACTGGTATCAGCTTTTGGGATGAATGCAAGTGAAGACCACGGTGGAGAGTGGGGAATGAAGAGTTTCCCTCCAGCTGCTCTTTAGACAGTCAGGGCACGTTCTGAGGTAAGCCAACCACACAGAAAGCCAAGTCCTCCCACAGGTCTGTTTTCATTTCTAAATGAGACGTGAGAATCAAAATATTTGCTGAAAAGTGAAAGAAAAATGTAGTTCTGACACTAGCCTAAGGACTTCCTTCCTCCTTTCAGGGACCACCTACAATATAGTATGGATTATTTCCTTACGATGGTGGGAAATTGGCTGTGAACGCATAGAGTTCTGTGTTATGTCTGGCTCTCTCAAAAATGTTCCATGATAACAATCTGCAAAAAGGTTTGGCTAATTATGGCCGAGCTCACCGTGAAACCATAGTACATCCGTGTAGCTCTATTACCCACAACCTGAGCAAACAGTCTCTTAGGCAAACATTACTCAAGCTGTTGCCTGAGAGTTCTTCTTTCCTCCAGATAGATTATCATTCAGAGTGATTTAGATGGGCAAGAATGGGGAGAATGCAGTAACACTTCCATGTCACCAGCAAAGGGTCTCAAGCCGCTGAGTCACTGAAGTGTGGTCACTTCCAGGATGGAAGGCAGCAGATAACTGGCCCCTGACAGGACAGGAAGTTCTGGACAAGGACAACAGAGTAAATCCCTCCTGTCACCAAAAATGGAGTGGGATTTTTGGCTTTTGGGAAGAGCTCAGTTTCTCATTTTCCATGCAACATTGCTCCTCTTCTCTCTGATGCTGCTGGGCTTAATGTTCAGCCTCCTGCTCAGATCCTAAACCATCCCCTCAGGTTATAGATGTGGAAGCAAGGTCTGATCTAAGAATGCATTCACACTTGGAAGGCAGGAAGATGAACCGGCTTATGTGGTGTTTTCTCTCTCCTCCATCAGTGTGTTAGTTGTGGGGAAAGCATCTGGAATCCAATCCCGCTGCCACACTTGTAATGTGGCTGGTGTGACACACTGTATGCCTGCAACAGATCATGTGCATTACTGAGTCTGCCTTTGGGACACAAGCAATCTCTGATCAGTAGGCCACACAAAGCAATAGTGGAGGAAGGAAGAGAAGACCTGAATAGTGGTTGGAAGATTCTGCTGTTCCGTGAGCTTGCTTTGCCAGAGGCAAAATGGCATATGTTTCCAGGCTGATTTCCTGCCTCCCCTGTAGGATGGCCTTCTGTAGGCCCTCACTGTTCCAGGTGCTCCAAAAGCAGGTGTGTCACTTCCCTTAAAAGTGGCTGCAGTCAAAGGCTTTGAAAGCAGAAGCAGGAAGACCTCTCTCAATGTCGTGCTTTCTAATGTTGTGCGTTTAACTGAAATGACTGTTCACCGAAGCAAGCATATTTCTGGTCTGGAGGGAGGAGTCCTCACTGGCGGGTAGGTATTCAGGCAGGTCAGACCCTCAGCACCAACATGCTCCGAACAAAAGGGGCTGAGAGCAGCTGAGACTCGAGGCTGTGTGGGTGTGTGTACATGCGGCCGTACCTGCCTCCTGGGGTGCGGTGCGATGCTTCCTCGTGCCTCTGAGTAAGCAGAATTTGGCTCTGGCCATCCTCAAGTTTCAGCCTGAGGAAACAAAATGGCTGTCTGTTCCTCTGAATGCCTTCGGATAATACATCTTGTCATCTGTAGCGCATGAATCACAAGCGCTTCCTCCTAATTAACACCATCGGGGGGTTTTCAGAGAACAACACTGGGATTTTTTTCTCCCTTATTCCAACACTCTGTTTTGTGTTGGTTCTTGTCTTCAGATGGACTTTGGCCATTAATTCTTTTCATCAGAACAGATTATGGGAAGTACGCACTTTCGGTGCTGTGAAGTAACGCTGGGTTTCACGTATTCCTTGTTGAACTTACAAGTGCTTGGGGGGTGGAAATCTTGCAGGTGTAGCTGGCCGCAGCTCACGAGTGAATCCCTGCGTGGTCTGGCGGTTCACTCAGGGTTTCTGGGTGCATCACTGACTTAGTATGTAACCTTGAGAACTTCACTATGCTTCAGTGGTAAGATGAATAATATGTACCTGCATAGTATAGGGGTTGCTAGATCCCATTGACATTTCTGGCATGGCTGAAAGATGAAAACAAGCCAAATGTTATTGGCTTTACAACCTGCTTGCTGGTATTTCTCTGTTTGCAGCATAGAAACTCTGGAACAAAGCAACTGCTCAGTTCCAGGCTTTCAGGGAGTATCTTTGGAGACAGAACCCTATGGATTTTGGTGAATGCTGGAAACCAGGAGGATGGTTCAGGGGATCTGGCACTTCTGTCAGATGCTGTTTTCTGTAGTTCCAGTGACCCACTCAAGCATAGATTTAATAGATTTTAGGGTCAGAAGGGACCTATTAGATGATTGAGCATGAGCATGCCTACTTCTCACTAGAGCTCCACCGTGCCAGTACAGTTAAAAATGCTGACAGCCAGAATGAGAAAGGAAAGGAGGAAAAAGAAAGGAACGGTGAGGTGCATGGGAAGACATGGGGGAGGGCTAAGGGGAGGATGTACAGAGCCGCTGGGGGGGCATGGGAGAGAACAGGGCCGTGGCAAGGGGGAGGGAGCAGACATGGCATGAAGGAGTGAAGGATTATTGCAAGTCTTCGGGAAGGAAGTAGAAGTGGAGCCTAAAGGAGAGATGCAAGGAGTCTGCAGAAGCACGTGGCCCCTCTAGCTGTAACAGATGATTGCTGCATTTCTGCTGCCTCTCTCGAGCCTGCTTTCAGATGCTCCCTTCCAACTGTACCAGATTGCTGATGGAATATGTAGATGTGAATGCATCCTTTCTGATGGGGATGCCCTGTAAAGTGATACTGCTCTGCACTCTTTCATCCCAGAATCGAAACACGCTTTATGAAATGGGGCAGCTGTAGCTTCAAAATGTACTGCGTGACCTTAGGTGAGGCACTCACAGGATCCAGGTCTTTGAACACCCACTTTCCTGCTTCCCTTACGAGGCACTGCCTCTTACTGTTATGCTGTTTCCACTGTAGATCTGGCAGGGCATTCAGTTAGACTAATCCATCTGAGGCAGGAATTGCTTTTGATGCTCAAGTGACATGAAGCCACTGCCCAGTGCTGCCCAAGCAGCTTTTAATGGAAGCACAGCTAATTCAAGTGTGTCTGTGAGCTGCTGTGTCCCATTTATCCTGTAGACTCCCTAAAATTTTGCAAAGCTTTTTGCCTACTCATCTGCAACATACGTATACATGTTGCGTTTGAAACTGGTTAGCTGCAGGCAGCGCTAAATGATTCCGTATTAATTGCCCAGATATAAAAACCGGTATCACACAGCTGGGTGTTTATTTAGTACATTAAGAAGAGTGTTGTTGGTTTGTTCTTGTTTTTAATTTAAACCCTTACTTTCTCAGAAGTAGGACTGGCTGAAATGCACTTAAGTTCAGTATTTTAGTATTGCGACACTACTCGAGTCAGTGGGACTGCCTGCTCTTCCCTGTTGACCGTCTTCTTTAGTTTTGCTCTCTGGCTAAGTCTGCCGTTGCCTCTTCCATGCTGGGTATTTTAGTTGATGCAGAATGCCACGCAACTTGACACCAAAGGGAATAAGGGAATAGGTGACTTGGTTGCCGATTCATTACACCGCAGTCTGCAGCATGACTCTGTTTCAATTCATTACACCTTGACAGGTACTTGAGGCTCTTTTTGCATCTGATGGATGCTTGCAGCCAACATTAAATGGTCTGGTTTCTTAATGGGCAGGTGTCTACATAACACAAATCACCAAACTAACCGTTTGTCTTCAGCCTCTGCTGAGACTGAATTAGCCCTTTTCTCTCAGGCAGATGGGTTGGAAGCTTTGATTCCAAGTTATTTCTTTCCAGGATTGCTGCAGAAGGTTAAGCCTAGTAACACTTGCGCCTGCATTTCCTACTTCTGGGTCATATGCTCTAACCACCAAGCCAAAAGCTAGGAAGGTTTAAGAACATCTTTCTTTTCTGTTAACCTTCTCAGTTTCTAGCTTGCTGCTTTCCTAGCAAAGCACCCTAGCCCCTAGGCCACAAGGTAAGACTTAGTGAGCATGCCATCCCTGGTGAAGCTGGCCCAATGGACAGCCAAGAGAAAGACTTGTGAAGCCAGAAGCACTGCAGCCTTGAGGGAGTATAACATCTGTTCCACTAAGCCATCTGGAAAAGACAGGGGGTCTTGGTGTTGACCCCACTGTGGCTTGCAAGTGCTTATGTATTTTGCATTTAATTGTCCCTGCCAAAGCAAAGAGACAGTGAGCTAGAGTGCATGGAGGTAGGCAGCAACAAATTAAATTCAGCTTTACGGAGGCTAGAACTCATGACCCTTAAAATTTCTACATACTTTTGAGGAACAGTGCAACCCACTGAGCTACTGCAGCTGGTTTGTTAAGCTTTTGGTCCCATGTATTATCTTTTCTTCTGCCAGCCCTAGGGCTCAGCTTCAAGAAGAGGAATGTAGCCTGAGGCTGAGAGGAGGAGACTTAGAATTTTAGGACTATGAGTTCAACTCCTGTGTGGGGATTCAGAGCGAAAAGGTGGAAGGGCCCTGGTCATCCTCTTACTCCTCGATTGTGTAACTGTAGCCTCGGTGGTGCTACGGGCTGTTCCATGCAGAGCAGGCTCTAAGACTGACATATCTCTGAGGGCTGCTTTGGGAAAATGTACATTGGAAGCTGCTTCTATATTGTCGTAGGGGTACAGAGGAGCTATGCCAGGCTCTCTCTTGGCTAATGGGGACACTTCTTATATTCATACTGACAAAGCAATAGTCATCTACCTCACCTGGCAAGTCAGGCTTGCTGTCTCTGCCCTGCTTCTGCCTCCAAAAGGCACCTTAAGCCAGAGGTCTCTGAAGCACCCACTCTTGCATGCTGGGTGGCATCCACGCCATCTCATGCAGCCACAGCTATTTTGAAGCATTTTAGCCAGGGGTGGCAGAGCAGGGTGGATGTGTGTGTGTGTGTGTGTGTGTGCGTGTGTGTGTGTAGGGGTTTAGGTTGTAGCCGTGTTGGTCGTGTTGGCTCCATTTCATCAACCTGCTGGATACTAGAGATCAGGGACTAAACATAGACATTGGATTTTTGATACGTTACAATCTGCCTGGCAACTGACTCCCCAGCCCAGCCCAGCCCCTGGCTTCTTTACTTTTCATTCCATCCAGGAAGAGCACACACCGACTGCTGCAGCTTCCTGAGCCTGACGAAGGGTTTTTGAACCCGAAAGCTTGCTTAATAACTATTCTCCAACCATTTGGGTTGGTCTAATAAAAGATATCAAATTCACCCAAGGAACCTTGTCTGTCTGTGTGTGTGTACACACACAAGTCCGTATATAGACATACAGACATATAGACATACATATACGTGTGTATACGCAACACACACACACATATAATATAATATAATATAATATAATATAATATAATAAAAGGTTTAGTCTGTCTGTGTGTCAGAGCAATCATATCAGAGAAGAATTCAACAAAGAAAAGTTCCTTCTAAGCCAGGAAACCCCTGAGCCAGGCAGAGAGCCAACAGTTTGCAGCATCTTCTCTTTGAATGTCACTCAGGGGTGGGGACGCACAGGAAACCGGGCTAAGGAATTGAATCCAACCTTATATGCCTTTCCTTTTTAGGACCGGTCTCTGTGTGAGCCTCTGGTGGATGGGGAACTTCAGGATTAACAGAGACATGCTGAAAGGTACCGGCCCTGCTTCCATGTGTGTGCGTGTGCATGTGTGTGCGGTAGCTAGATCCCAGGATTCGTGGAGACTGCGTGGACATGGAGGTATTGATCGTTGAGACTTCGCTGTGTTCTACATAGGCACAGCTGGCAGGCACAGCACATGCTTGCCCTCGTCCCTGACGGTGCATGATGGAAGTGGCCAGTATCAAAGACTTCCAGTGGAAAACCCTGGCGCCTCTCCCCAGCCGCAGGGTCTACTGCTCCTTGGTGGAAGAGAAAGGTCAGGTTTTTGCCATCGGGGGCTGCGATGACAATGGTGTCCCCATGGACTGCTTCGAGGTGTACTCCCCAGAAGCCGACCAGTGGAACTCCCTCCCTCCCATGCCCACGGCCCGGGCTGGGGTAGCGGTGGCCACCCTGGGCAAGCGGATCATGGTGATCGGAGGGGTTGGACTGAATCAGAAGCCCCTGAAGATCGTGGAGATGTACAACATCGACGAGGGCAAGTGGAAGAAGAGGAACTCCCTGAGGGAAGCAGCGATGGGCATCTCGGTGACCGCGAAAGGCAAGGAGAATTTGTTTGCTACTGCAGGCGTGTGGCTGGCGGGGAGGTGTGGGGAGCACGGCAGAGAGGAGTGGGCTGGGCAGAAGGGCTCCAGGGGCAAGGGGGGACTCCTTCCGCTGACGAGTCTAGTTTAAAGCCTGCCGGAGGAGTTCAGCCAACCTGAAAGAGAACACACACTTAGAGAACACATTTAGTTTAAGATTGAAGTAAAAACAAATATAACTTAATTGGAATGAGTTCCAAACAATCTGCAGGGTTTTGAAATAGGAGTTTCATTACCAGGAGCAGCGACCAGACAGTAGAATTGCACAACCAAGGATGTCTTGATTGGTGGAGTATGAAGACTATTAAACGAAAAGAGGGTCATTACCACGTGTGGAATGAAGAGTTTAGAAGGGGTCAGGTAGATTATAATGAGCCATGTAGTCAAGTAACTCCCTCAGCACTGCCTGAATAGAAATGCTACCGGCAGGATAGGCTCCCTGGGTTTGTTCTGCTCACATTTATTTCTGAGGCCCATTAACCCGGTTTGCAGAGGTACTGACTGCTCAAGACTTCATGGACATCTATGGGAGCAAGGAGCACCCAGCTCTTCTGCAAACCGGGCTGGGCTGGCTCCTCACCCCACGCTGGCCCTGGGGCTGTGTGCATGGGGTGGAGGGTGCTGTGTGCCCGGGCAGCCCGTGGGGTGCGGGCGAGCGGGGCCCAGGGCACTCCCAGGACAGCTGGGCACTGCGTGCTGCTGCATGGGGCTGAGCCTCTGTTTTCCAGCACCCTGAGCTGGGCCGGCTCTGTGGGCAGCACCACAGCCTCCAGTGTGGCCTTGGTGTAGCTGGGGCAGGCCCGAGTGCCTAGCAGGGCAAACACCATGTATCTGGGTCCATAAAAGCAGTTTTACATAAGTGCCCGGGGGTAACTGCTCTTCTGGCGTGGTTTGGTACTTGCCGAGGTGCACATTATGGAAACGGAAGGCGTCTCCCGAGCTTGCTCCTGCAGCCATACCGCTGAGGGCAAGCCAAACTTGGGAGCATCCGAACCCCAAGCCTCCGGGCATGGGCCTGCATGTAGGATGCCTGCCAAAAGATGTTCAATCCATCTGAAGCCCCTGGTGAGGGTAGGGAATGTTTGCTGGTTGTAGGGCCACTTATGCTTCTGGACTGACTTATGGATTTGGACTTGATTTGGCTCATTTGTTTTGGAACATAAAAGCTTCTTTTAAAAAAAAGAAAAAAGCCTGGGGCTTGCCCTGATCCTGCCTGGCTGTCGACACTTGGTGCTGCACTGGGACTGGGAGCCCAGGCTAGGCCAGGCTCAGGCCACAACGGACATGGGCCCGTGGCCACAAGGCGGCACCAGCACGGCCCGAGGGCCCCGGGCATCGCACTGCCCGGAGTCCCCGCCCCGCGCCGCACCGGCCTCCCGGGGCCCGGCCGGGGCTGCAGCGCGGGGCGG